AAACACCGAAGAAGAAAACTGAGCAATGTCTCTGATACAAAGATGAGTAGCTTTCCACCCCAGAATGGGGAAGGGGCCAGACCAGCTACATGGGGCAGTTGCTCAGCGATCACAAGAAAACAGGGTAGATGGAAATCTTACTGAACTGTTTTAAACACAGGAGGGATCGATATTTAAAGCTAATTTTGAACGTTCATGTTGTATTGGAAACAAAGCGTTAGATTGTTAATTCTTGCTTCTCCACAAACCTATAACGTTAGGGTCTGTGGGCGAATGAACATTCAGCCTCCCACACCTGCTTACATACCTGCAGGAATACCTGGGGTAAGCTTGACAAAGCGCTGCTCACTTGCTTGGCCAAGGTGAGTGGTAAGGAGCTGTGGGGATGGAAACGCAGTTAGATTGCCTTTATTTTGCCACACTTGGATTTCCCAGGAAAGCATGGGTTGGGAGCAAAATGTGAAGGGTTTACTTTATGTACCCTTTTTATAAGCCTGCCTGAGGGGGCTGTTCATAAAAAATTTTTCTTGGATAGATACCTAGAGTGCAATTGCTGGGTCTTCAAGTAAATGCATATTTATAAGAAATTGCCAAACTCTCTTCCAAACTTGGTTGTGACGTTTTACACTCCCGCCAAAATGTATGATGGGTCCATTTGTTCCACCCACTGCTGCCTAACAAGTTACTACAAACTTAGAGGCTTAAAACGACGCATTTGTTATCACACAGTTTGTGCAAGTCAGGAATTTTGGCAGTGTTTACTGTGTCCTTTGTTTGGGGATCTCTCATGAGGCTGCAATTAAGGTGTTGGCAGGCTGGGGCTCATCTGAGGCTCGACTGGGGAAGGATCCACTTTCAAGCACGTGAGGCTGTGGGCAGGATTCACTTCCCTGTGGGCTGTGAGGCTTCTGCTCCCTGCTGGATGATGGCTAGTGGCCACACTCAGTCATTTGCCCCATGAGCATCTTCCCATGGAGGCTTCCTTCATCAAACCCAGCAAAGGAGATGGTCATTAGGGAGAGCTGGCCATCAAGATGGAAATCACAATTTTATGTAATGTAAACACAAGAGTGACACCCCATCACCTTTGCCATATTCTACTGGATGTAAGCAAGTCATAGGTCCCATCCACACTCAAAGGTAGGGGAGTACACAGGGGCTGAAACACCAGGAAGAGGGGGTCATTGGGTACCATCTTTAAGTCTGCCACACTCCACGTCCTTGCCAACACTTGGTATCATCAATCTTTTTTACTTTATTTATTTTAAAAATATTTATTTATTTGGTTGTACCAGGTCTTAGTTGCGGCACGTGGGCTCCCTAGTTGTGGCATGTGAACTCTTAGTTGCAGCATGCAAGTGGGTCTAGTTCCCTGACTAGGGATTGAACCTGGGACCTCTGCATTGGGAGCATGGAGTCTTAACCACTGTGCCACCAGGGAAGCCCCTAAACGTCTCAATTTTTTATGTAACGTCTCAATTTTTCTTTTTATGGTTATTGCTTTCTGTGTCTTTTCTAAGAAACCATTCTCTGCTCCCAAGTCAGTAACATATTCCCCAATATTTTCTTCTGAAAGCCTTATGATTTTAGCTTTCACATTTAGGTCTGTGATCCATTTTGAGTTTTATTATGAGTTTATTTGTTTATGCTGGGAGGAAGTGGTTGAACTTCATTTTTTTCTCATTATGAATATCCAGTTGTTATAGACCATATGTTGAAAAGACTCTCTTTTTCCTATTAAATAACCTTGGCCCCTTAGTTAACAATTAATTGATATGTGGGTATATAATATTTAGACACTTTTCTGGCTCTATTGGTTAATGTATCTGTTCTTACACTGATACCACATTGTCTTGATAACTGTAAATTTTATAGTACTCTAACTTTCTTATTGTTTTTCAAAATTCTTGGGATAATCTAGGTTCTTTGCATTTCTATATAAATTTCAGAATTACCTAACTTTACAAAAGAAGTCTGTTGATAATTAGGATTGTATTAAGTCTATAGATCAGTTTGAGGAGAACTGTCATCTTAATAATAGAGTCTTTTTTCCCGTGAACGTGATATAACTATCCATTTATTTAGGTGTTCTTTCATTTCTGTGCAGTGCTTTATGGTATACATTGTATATTTCTTTGAAATATTTCGTGTAAATTTATCCCTAACTATGTCTGGGTCTTGGTGGTACTGTAAATAGCATTATTTTTAAATGTCAATTTCCAATTGTTGCTAGTATATGGAAGTACAATTAATTTTGTTTACTGATTTGTGAATTTTATCCTGTGACCTTGCTAAACTCATTCAGTTCTAATAGCTTTTTTGCAGATTCTAAAGATTTTCTTTGTATACAAATATACGGTCTCCAAATAACGACAGCTGAAGTTCTTCCTTTCCAATCTGTGTGCCTTTTATATTTTTTCTCTTTGCCTTATTACACCGGCTTTGATCTCCGGTGTGATGTTGAATAAAAGCCGTAAACATGGACACGCTGCCTTATTCCTAAACTTAGGGGGCAGCGTACTCTTTATTCATCACTACTCTTACTATGATGTTAGTTGTAGGTTTCTCATAGATGCCTTTTATTAGGTTGACATTCTCTTCTATCCCTAGTTTGATGAGAGTTTTTTTCACAAGTTGGTTTTAAATTTTGTCAAATGATTTTCCTAAACCTATTGGTTTTTCATTATTATTTAGTTTGCTAGTACGGTGAGTTACATTGATGAATTTTCCAATGTTAAGTGAAACTTGCATTCCTGGGATAAAACCCAGTTGGTCATGATGTGTTATTATTTTTACATATAGTTGGACTTGATTTCCTAAAATTCTTTAAGGATTTTTGAATTTATGTTCATGAGTGATGTTTGTAATTTCCTTTCCTTGTAATGTATTTGCCTATTGGTTTCAGTATGAGGATAATGCTGGCCCCGTGAAATAAGCTGGGAAGTGTTCCCTTCTCTAATTTCTGAAAGAATTTGAATAGGATTGGTGTACTCCTTCCTTAAATGTTTCAGAAAACTTGTCAGGGAAGTCATCAATGTCTATAATTTTCTTTGTGAGAATGTTATAATTATGAATTCAATTTCTTAAATACATATCCAATTCTTCAGTTGTTTATTTCTTTTTGAGACAGTTTTAGTACTTGATGTTTTTCAAGGAATTTGTTCATTTTATCCTTACTGTTGGATTTACTGGCATAAAGTCACTCATATATATCTTTTTTTTAAAGTGGCTTTTTGAGCTATAATTAACATGAAGTAAACTGTGCACATGTCAGTGTACAATCTGATCAGTTTTGACATATGTATAGCCCTGTGAAATCAATTTAGGGTTAGCTTTTGCACACTATGTAGGCAAGACCCTTTGAGTATTCTATCCAAAGCCCTCTCAACTATGAGGTTTTCCTGTCTGGTGAGCAGCCGCTATTCCTGGTTTTGTATCAGCCCCAGATAATGTTTCCCCTGATCTTTCTGGGTGGCTCTTTCCCCAGGCTTACACATGTTTGCTGATCAATGCACAGCTTACTAACTGTTGGGGAGTGCTGTCCATCTCCGGAGTCTCTCTCTTTCCTCTGGCATCTGCCCTGTAATCCACAGCCACTTTCATCTCCGTGGACCACTAGCTCTGTCTCCTCCACTCGGGGAGCCCACCAGGCTCCACCTGAGTTCCCCATCCCTGCAGCAGGGCCTGTAGATGAGGCAATTACAGGGCTCACCTCGTTCATTTCCTGTCCTTCAGGGCTCCCTATCCTCTGTTGTCTGATGTCCAATGCTTGAAAACCATTGTTTCACGTATTTTGTTCATACGATGTTTCATGCAGGAGGGTATGTCCAGTGCAGTGTTTCATGGGCTTTGAATCTCTGTTATGAGGTACAAACATCTTTAGTATGTTTAAGTCTTCTGTAATATCGTAGAGATTAAGTAAAATGATCCATTTATCATTTTGAAAGGGTCCTCTTTATCTCTGGTTATGTGCCTTGTTCACAAATCTGCTTTGTCTGACGTTAATAGAACCATTCCAGCTTTCTTACGGTTAGTATTTACATGGTAAATCTTCTTATATCTTTTAACTTTTGACCCTACCCCACCCTCATATATATGTGTTTGTGTGTGTATATTTTCTTCTGGAAGATGGCTTTTTAAAAAAAATTCAGTCTCGTAATCTTTGCTTTTAACTGGAGTATTTAGACCAGCCTTTTCCGATAGAGCCTTCTGTGATGATGGAAATGTTATAAATGATCTGCCCAATAGGCTAGCCACTAACTAGGTGGCTATTAAGTACTTGGAATATTGATAGTGTGACTGAAGAACTAAAGTGTTCATTTTATTAAAATTTTCATTAATTTAAAGAGTCCCATGTGGCTAGTGGCTAGTGTATTGACAGCATAGGTTTAGGTCCTTCACATTTAATGTAATTACTGATATGGTTGGGTTTAAGTTTATCATCTTATTTGTTTTCTATTTTTAAACAATATTTTCCACCTCTTCTTTGTTTCTTTTTTTCTCCTTTCCTCCTTATTTTGTATTGAATATATTTTCTTCTTTTTTTTAATCTCCACCATTGGCTTATTAGCGATCTCTTTTGTTTTAGGGTGTGTGTGTTTGTGTGTTTTAGAGTTTATCATATTCATCTTTAATAATAAAAGCCTACTTGGGACTTCCCTGGCAGTCCAGTGGTTAAGACTCCGTGCTTCCACTGCAGGGGGCATGGGTTCAATCCCTGGTTGGAATACTAAGATCTCACATGCCACATGGTGTGGCAAAAAAAAAATAATAATAATAAAAGCCTACATTTAATGATATTTCTCACATATAAGAACCTTACAAATATACTTCCATTCCCCCTCCCATCTTTTGTGCTACTGTCATGCATTTTATTTCTATACTATAAACCCCACAATATATTCTTATTATTTTTGCTTTAAACAGCCAGTTATCTTTTAAGGAGTATTTTTTAATTAAGAAAATTTTCATACTTACACACGTTTAAATTTTCTGTTGCTTTTTATTTCTTTGTATAAATACAAGTTTCCATAAGGTTTCATTTTCCTTCACCTTGAAGAACTGTATTTACCACTTTTCACGGTACAAGTCTGCTGCTAAAGAATATCTTAGCTTTTGTTTGTCTGAAAAGTCTCCGTTTTTCTTTATTTAAAAGACATTTACTGGGCACATAATTCTAGGTTGATCCTTTTCTTTGTTTTAGTATGTTAAATATTTTGTTCCACTCTCTTCTGTTTTCTCCGTTTCTTCCTAAAAATCTAGTCACTCTCATCTTTGTTCTTTTTGTATTTAAAATGTCTTTTTTTGTCCGGATTCTTTTAAGATGATCTCTTCACGATTGGGATTCAGGAATTTGATTGTGGTGTGATTTCGTATGGTTTTCTTTGTGTTCATCCTCCTTCAGTTTTGTAGCTATTCATGGATTTCTGGGTTTATAGTTCTTATAAAATTTGAAAATATTATTTCTTCATTTTTTTTTCTTTTTCCTCTTTCCCTCTTTTCGGGGATTCCAACTGCATGTACATTAGACTTCCTGATTTGTCCCAGAAGTTACTGATGGCTTTAAAAGTTAACTTCTAAAAGTTTTCTTTCCCTCTCTGATATACATTTTGGATAGTTTATTTTGCTATGCATTCATCTTCAGGTTCATATATTTTCTTCTTCGGTGTCTAGTCCACTGCTATTCCCATCTGGGGTAGGAGGAGATACTGTGCAAAAGTACAGAGGTGGAAAGCACCCGTGGGAACTCTGTTAACTACAGGGACCCAGCATGGTCTCGCCATGCTCGGCTTCAGCTCAACCATGGAGAGGGAAGGTCTACAGTCTAGTCTGCTGCATGGATCCCTTGTGGGAAACTTAATGGGAATGTAACTATTTCTCGACTGTGAACTTTCTCCCCAGAGGGTCAAATTCTCTTCCCTTTCACAGCACAAACGGAGTAGTCATCTCTCTCGGAGGCAGCCTCCTACTCTCGTCTAATTGGAAATATCTCCAGGTCCACACAATGCCACAGCTGGCAGCCCACCAGTTCCCTCCACATCCAACAGCGCTGCTTCACTTGACTGCTGTGAAAGATGAAGAAATCTGAGCTATGTGAGAGGACAATAGGAAATGCCCTTTGCCAAACCTTCTGTGCTGGTATCCTTGGGATTCAAATGAAATTAACAATTGCTTAAAGATTTGCAACCTGATCGTTTCTATCAATGCATGTTAAAGTGATGGGTCCTAAAAAAAATTCATCCTGAGGATGAGGCAAAGGTAATGTTTTTTACTCAATGTGCAAATCGTTTGAATGTCCCTTCCAGATGACTCTGTACCTTCAGTTAATCATTTGCAATTTTCCTGCAAGAAAATGTGAAAGCGATGAGGCCACCGACCTTCCAGAAGAAGTGACTTATTGCTATCTTGAGACCTTCTGGCACCTAGACTAAATGAATGCCCACATAGAAGCTGATGTGGGGGGAAATGTGACTGCATGAAGAGCCTTGTTAAAGATACAACAGCACGCAAACCCTCATTACCCTGAGCCTATGCTCACAGTAAACCAATCAGGAAGACCAGCTTAGCCTGGCCCATGTCTGTGTCAGTTCTCAAAATCTGGAACTTAGAACTAAAGCTAGAAAAGTGTGCCTTACTTTGTGTAGTCAATATTTCCAAGAAAATGAAAAATAATTTTTTTGGGTAAATATCATTTTCAATTAGGCACTAGGTGAACAATATATTTAATAAATAAATTTAATAAATGTATTCGGATTGGTACTATCATGAATAAACCATTCTATCACAATAGACAACACAGGAGGAAAACAAAATGCAAATTTTATAATCAAGTACTTGGGAAGGTTAAGCTAACAACCTTGACACCCACAGAAATTAAGAGGTCAAGTGGTAGGATGCTGCCTAAAGGAATCTGCCAGGTAGGGTAGAAATTAAGAGCACGTTGAAGGCAGAAGACCTGGGCTCCAGACCTGCCAGTTGCAGGTTAAGGGGTCTTTGCAACTCATTTAAAACCATCTAAATTTGTGCCTTCTCCCTCTGTAAAATGGTTGTAACATTTGTCTCATAGGGTGTTGAGAGTATTAAATAACGTAACATATGCAGTGATTCTTTACAAATTGTAAAACCCAGTTACTACTGAGAGGGACCAAAGAAAGCAGAGAGGCTCTTATGGGCTGCTGTTGCCAGAGAGGAGGTTTGGAAGGGGAGAGCCTGAAGTTTGGTTGGGCCTTGGAGAGGCCGTGGAGAAATGGAGGAGAGAACATTCCAGGCTATAGGGAGAGCATGACTGAAGGACTCCTCACCATGGGGAAGCAGCCTGCTTCTCCCTTGGGAATGTTCCTAGTTCCTTCTCTATCATGGTCACCTTTCTCTAAACTTCGGTGGGGAGGGTGACAGGACGGCCCTACAGAGTCACAGCATCTGGACCATTCTTGCCTGGGGGCAACAGGCGGTCTGTGATTGGTTTAGGGACGAAAATCGGATCTAGAGCAGGTGGCTCCCAACCTTGAGGGCACATCTAAGTCACTTCGGAACATTGCCAAGTGTGCCCAGTCTTCATCCCAGAGCTGCACCGAAGCACACTGTCTGGGAATGTGAGGGCTTGCGTGTTGCTGCTTTTTAAAGATCTAGACGTGATTCTGATGAACTACAGGGTTGAGAACTGCTGTTCAGTTCTTGATCCATCGATAGAGAAATTCATCTCAAAGAAAACAGCCTGCCATCCATTAGGTCGGAAAAGTTAACTTTGTTTGCTAGTGGTCCCTAAAGGGGATCGACCGGTGCTGCCGGTACCAGAGGCTTCTGTCGCCTGCCATTGTCCTTAGAATTCCAGGCTCATCCTCCACACTCAGTGAGGGCGCACACACCACCCAGAGCAGGGCGCCTGGCACAGGCCACGGGGTGGAGCTCTGCATGGGCTCTCCTGCACGAGTCCCTGAATGTCCTCACTGCCCACACCCACCTGCACAGCTTTCTGCATGACCTACAGGACCGAGGGAGGATACTGGATCCAAACATCCCCACGCAAGTCAGAGCTATTATTACAACTAACAACGTCACTCTCCATCCATCTTAATTTCATCAGATCTATTGTTTTAAAATGTTGTTTAGCGTCTCTCGCCTCCACTGGAAGGTAAGCTCCAGGGGTGCAAGGATCTTTTTTGTGTCACTCTGCAGCCCAATGCATAGAAACGTGCCTTGCACACAGTAGGCACTTAGTTGACATGCAGCGTATGAAAAAATGATTCAATAGTTCCCACTTATTGAGAACTTACGATGTGCCAGGACCTTTCTGTCTATCATCACATTTAATTCTCATAACAACTCCACGAGGAAGGTGCTATTGTTTAGTCCCATTTTAGGGCAAAGGAAACTGAAATTCTGAGACATGAAGACACCTGCCCAAGGTCACAGAGGTAGTAAGAAGTGGAGCTAGGACTTGAACGCACTGCTTTCCAGCTCCGAACACCAAGCTCTTAACTATTCGATTGTACTAATTCCTTTCACTAGGGATGGTACAGGAACAGAGCCTGAACAGGACTTGGCTGCAAATCTGGTTTTACTCTGGTGCTAAATATTAGTGTGTTAGCAGTGGCATCTCCGGACAGTGGTGTTTCCTGCGCAGGTTGCTTCAATCGAAGGGCTGAAAAGGAAATCTATCCCCATATCCCGTCTCCCATGTCCAGGACTCTGGATGACTTTTATTTTACCCTTGAAAATTTTCAACAATGAATATGTATATTAATTATGGGAAGGATTAAGCAGCTCTAACAAAGAGACGGCAAGACGCATTAATCTATACAAGTTCAAAGTTTCTTTTTATCGCACGTTACCGGTCCAGCACAGGAGGTTGGGCTCCACTCTGTGAAGTCATCCGGTTTCCCAGCTAGCCCTGCACGGCTGCCTTCGTCAACAGATGGCTGTCCTTTGACCCAAGGCACCTGCTCCTCTTGGCCTCATCCTCTGGCTGCGAGTAGCTCACCAGCACCACCTCCAGGAGAAGACGGGGAAGGTTAAGGAGGGTGTACTTACCTTCTTTTTCAAGGAGGTACTCATATCTCACTAGCCAAAACCTAGTTAGTTACAGGGCTGCACGTAGCTGCACGGGAGGTGGGAACCAGGCTCTAGCTGGGCAGCTGTGTGCCCTTCCAGCACTCACACAGAGAGAACTCGTTATCACAAAGAAGACAGGGAGCATCGATATTAGGGTACAATAACCATGCCTACCACGGTGTGTATTTTTTTCTGATTAAGAAATCTATCCCCCCAAGAAACAGGACTTTAAGTGTGTTTAAAAATTAAGATAGCCCCGGCGCGCGGGCGTAAGGTGGACGCGGAAGTCAGGGCGCTTGTGATGCGCGTGGTGTGGTCGGCGCTGTGATTCGAGCTGGGCTGGCTGGGCGGCGGCAGCCGTCACAGGAAATAAGTGACCCTGGTGCTCAACAGTTTGGATAAGATGATTCAACTCCAGAAAAGCACGGCTGACATCAGGAATATCTGTGTTTTGGCTCATGTTGACCATGGAAAAGCTACTCTGGCTGACTGTCTTGTATCTACAATGGCATCACCTCCAGCCACCTGGCAGGCAAGTTAAGGTCCATGGACAGCAGAGAGGATGAACAGGTCCGAGGGATCATTGTGAAATCCAGTGCCATTTCACTACATTATGCAAAAGATTAATGCACTCACAGGAACTGTTTTTACTTCTAAAGTGCTAGAAGAAAGAGCAGAGAGAGAGACTGAATCCCAAGTGAATCCAGATTCTGAGCAAGGAGAGCAAGTGTATGACTGGAGCACTGGCTTGGAGGGCACGGATGATTCTCACCTTTACTTCTCTCCAGACTAGGGAAATGTGGTATTTACAAGTGCAATAGATGGCTGGGGCTTTGGGTAAGTGTTTCAATGTAATTAAATCTCTTTGTGGATTTTATATCCAATCGATTTTTTAATTAAACTTTTTATTTTGAAAAAATATATAAAAAATAAAAATTAAGATACATCAAAATTGACTTTTTCTGTATGTATAGTTCCATGAATTTAAACACACCTTTGATCTGCAAACCTCCACTACAATCAGGATGTAGAACAATCCCATCACCCCAAAGACTCTTGTTCTGTCTTGCCCAAGTCACACCCTCTTCCTGACTCAGCCCCTTTTATATAATCCTGAATTCAATTTGCTAATCTTGTGTTGAGTGGTCCTGCACCTAAATTCATGACAGATATTAGTCTACAGTTTTAATTTTTTGTATTGTCTTTGTCTGGTTTTGATAAAACCGGCCTCATAAAATTAGTTGGGACAGTTCCTTCCTCTTCTATGCCCTGGAATAGATTGTGTATGTTGAACATTATTTCTTATATGTTTGGTAGAATTTGCCAGTGAAACTATCTTGGCCTGGAGATTTCTTTTGTGGGAGGTTTTTAGCTATACATTTAATTGATTTTATAGTTATAGAACCATTCAGGTTGTCTATTTCATCTTGGTTGAGTTTGGATAATTTGTGGTTTTCAGGGAAGTGGTCCGTTTCATCCAAGTTGTTGAACTTATGCATGTGGACTTGTTCATAGTATTTCTTATCCTTTCAATGGCTATGGGGTCTGTGGTTGATTCTCTTTTAAACACACTCCACAAAGAGGCACATTAAGTTCCTTCTTATGACCTCTCAACTTGCTGGTGACATTCTCTTATGGTCTTTGGATTTTATACGTCTTTAGGGATTATAAATGGATTTGCAGCAGGAATGGCATCTTTAGTCTAGATACCAAACATAGGGTGATGGCTGATTTCTCTGGTATGTGGGCTTTTTGCTGCTGTCAGGCCCCCATTCCCCAGCCTGGGAGAGATCCCACCAGCTAGCTCCTAGGAAAAGACTGATACGAGTTTAACCACTTCTTTTCAGTTCTTCCACCCTTGTCTTGAACCTCCCCCTCCTACCAGAGGAAAGAGATGAAAGCACAGTACTTCTCTCTTAGAAACTCCTCCATCTTACCTTAATATTGTTTGCAAGTCCTTATTTAGCATTTTGGAGAGAAGCTTGGAAGCAAATAATAATTTTGTTATCTGTTGTTAATCCTTCTAGGGAGTTGATTATCAGAATAGTTAAGCCTGTTTCCTACAGGGAGGAAGGGGTGCAGGGATTGCCTTCCTGTTATAGGTCAAGAAGCTGTGTTCCTTTAAAGCAGGCATCATTAATAGAAAGCCTACAATATACCTGGCTGTTATAGATTTTACCTTTATAGCTAATAATATCAGGGTGGGGATTGTTATCTTCATTTCATGGACAAGAACAATGAGGCTAAGGGATGTTCACTTCAAGGCCTTTTCATGCTTCTGGCTGGCTGTCTGACCCTGAGAAAATGACTTAATTAGTAACTAAGTCTCAGTTTCCTCATTTGTAAAATGAGGATAATAGTATAACTTAACTTATAGGGTTGGTTGAGGATTAAATATGTCTAGCACATAGTAAGCATTCAATAAAATTTGCCATCATCCTTGTTGCTATAATTATACCATATATTATTTATTTGAAACTTTTCTATAAGGAAGCATGTTCTGGGCTTCCCTGGTGGCGCAGTAGTTGAGAGTCTGCCTGCCGACGCAGGGGACACGGGTTCGTGCCCCAGTCCGGGAAGATCCCACATGCCGCAGAGCAGCTGGGCCCGTGAGCCATGGCGACTGAGCCTGTGCATCCGGAGCCTGTGCTCTGCAATGGAAGAGGCCACAGCAGTGAGAGGTCCGCGTACCGCAAAAAAAAAAAAACAAAAAAACAAGAAAGCATGTTCTGAACTTGTACTAAATTTTCCTTAAAATTCATGATTATTGAATATTAAAGAAAATAAAGCCATTTGCTTTCAATCAGGAAAATCTTGACTAACCAGAACTATACAAATTAATCCCAAAGTTGACTGTTTTTTGTTTTTTGCTACTTTCAAATCAGGTTAATAAGAAATGAGCAGGGCATATTTAAAATGACATCCTCAGCATCCTATGGAGAAAGCAGTCTTCTCTTCCGGCCCACATTCTTGGTCCTGGGTTGACCCTGGCTGCTCAGAGCCTTCAGCATTCCAGACAGCCTTGCTTGTGTGCATTAGGTTTACCAAGGCAGGAAATGGGCTAAGATATTGTGCAAGATGGGATTTCTGTTCCCATTTCTCTCCTGTCTTGCCATGCGGTTGCACTGCTTCTCAATAGACTGGGTGGAGCAGACTTTCTCACTTAACCTGGGCGTGGCCATGTGACTTGATTCAGCCAATGAAATGTGAACAAGTGTGATGCTAGCAGATGCATTATGGTTTTGCTTGGATGCCTGGTTTCTGCCATCTGCAATAAAAAGAACATGCCTTGGATGGCTGTGGCCATGTGGAGACACATGGAGTAGACCTGAACTCCACCTGTGGCTCGGGGTCAAGCCCAGCTGATCCCAGCAGAGCCAGGGAGCCTGAGGCCCCTGAGCAACGAAAGGAACATTTGTTTTAAGCCACGAAGATCTTGAGATTGTTATGCAGCAAAACTACTTACATGTATCTTGGTGAATTTTCAACAAAAAGAATGAAAACCTATTGAATGCGTTGATAGTCGGGAAGAGGTATTTCACACACACAACTCGTCAGGAAATCCATTTAACCACGTAAAGGCTTTAAATTGACTCCACAGCACCCAGGTGGATGGCACATCAGGTGTCTTTACATTGTGTAAATTCACTAAATCACCTTTAGGGTTGATGGGAAATTCCATCTCAGTCATGTCTTGGAGGACCCCTCCACTTTGGTGGTAAGGAGACACTAGTGCTTTCACAGCCCGGGAAACCGGAGGATGGCTTCTGACTGCTGCTCTAAGGTATCTTGTCCAAGGCCAGTGGGGAGCATTCTGATGATGCAGCCCCATTTTCTTCCTTTGCTCTGAGTTTGTCTTGGCATCACTGCCAAGGCCCCAAGCAGTGGAACCTACAGAAGTTCTCACCCTCTAATGTGTACATGAGACACATGGCCATCTAGTTAAATAAGATTTGATCCAATGGGTCTGGTCGGGGCCCCAGATTCTGCATTTCTGATAAGTAGTCCTCAGGTGATGGTCATTGCTGTTCATGGACCACACTTTGGTAAAAAGACCCTAGAGTCCAGGCTCCCTCAGCCCTCCAAGAAGCCATCCTTCCCTATGGGCGCTCTGAATATTTGGGGCTCAGGTCTCCAGCACATGCGGACCGCCCCCCTCACCAAACTGTTTATTAATCCCACCCCCCAAGATTGAGCCATACCTTCTGCCCTGTGTCACTCATTCATCAGAAACTTTCCCTTTTCAGATAAAGAGCCCCGTAAGACTTAGCAATCAAAGGCTGGATCCTGCTCTCCTTTGGCCAGGACATCACATTTCTCCAGGACTCAGAGGCCTGGCAAAGGAATAAAGAACTCTACGGGCACTGATAGTAAGAACAAGATTGAATTAATATCTCATAAACCATCCAGTTACCATGGGAGCAGCCCACTCCTTAGACTGCCGGGGAGAGGATATGGTCCCGGAGATGGGTGCTTGTCTACCCTGTAACCACACATGTCAGCTCAGAATTCTTGGTCATTTTACTTTCAGGAGTCCTGAAAATCCTGGTTTTGCCACTTTTAATCAACAGACCTGCAGAGGAAGGGAGAACCAGTGGTCAAGAAACTAGCATGTCAGGCACACCTCAGGGCCCTAAGCAGGGCTGATAGAAACCCAGCCTGCAGGGCTGCCTTCCCAGTCCCAAGAATTTATGGCCAGGAATCCATTCTGATTGGTTGGTTTATTTGTTAAATGTTTTGAGTTTAACAGGGTCCTAGGGAGATAGCTTTGCAAGCATGCATTTGGGGTGCCCATTCTTATATAGGTCTCACTTTTCCTGTGATCTTCCCAATAAATTATGCTATGAATTCAACAAGAGTACAAGGCCACTTTTCAAATATTGGTTTAAGAACCTCACTCCTGTGTCAGGTAAAGTATCCTTCTGTCAAACTGAGCCATGGCTGGTGTGCCTGGGGATTCCAAGAGGCCAGTTCTATTTTACCAAAACATTAGGGGGAATTCATCCTGGTGGCATGATAGTGGTGCTGGATTCCAGCCCTGGGGAGACCCAGTGACGATCTCTCGAAGAGGCGGGCAATGTGGGGAGACGTCAGGTACGGGATCAGGCAAGATCCCCAAATAGCTCAGGTGCCTTTGTCTCTTTTCTAGATCTATTTTATTTCTCCTCCTCCCCTTCCTCCAGGTCACACAGCTACTTAGGGGCATGGTTTACCCCAGTGGGGTTGGCTTCAGCCTCCGGACCCTCCCATTCGCTGCGCTACCACTTCTAAAGTGTATTTGTACCATCACTCTAAGAATAGTCTCTGTGTTTCCGCAGAGGAGGAAACCCAGCCCGGTGTTTCTGAACACTCACCGTGCATGTGGATCCCCCAGAAGCTTGTGAAAGGTAGATTCTGATTTGGTAGATCTGAAGCGAGGTCGAGATTCTGTATTGCTAACCAGCTCTGGGGTGATGCCATGGCTGCTGGTCCACCAGTCACAGTTTGATTACGATGCCTGAATCTACTGTCATTAACTGCTAGAGCTCTTGGGTGAAAGGGATTCAGAACCAGTCCCTTCTCAGCGGTGATGCGAGCCGGGGATCTGGGATTGATTGGTATGCCGTCCATGGGTCGGGTGCTATGTTTGCCATTCCACAATCGGACAGTCTCCGACTTCCCTCCCATGTCAAAGCTTCTAAGAGTTTATCAGTCACTCCAGCCAGACCCTAAGGCAGTATGGTGGGTAAATTATTCTGCAGCTCCAGCCCACTAAGTAAGCATCAGAGCCGATGCCCATGTGTTACGATCCGAGGAGCCAAAATGTGTTTCCTCGGCCCCTAACTTTAACCTCCTTTAACCCAGCCTCTTAGGCCCTACTTGGCCAGTGTTTGACAGTTTCCTTTCTCAGTAAAAATGCAGAGAATGGGATTAAAATGCAGGGTGGCGGGATTAAGCTGTTCTCAGTCACGAACATCACTGAACATCACGGTGTGAATGAGTCTATCAGCTCTTCTCCACAAACGGGAATCTTGGCAACCCTAGGTGTCCGGTCGCCTGCGTTCTAGCCCTGACCGTGCCGCCAACCAGCTGTGCAGCCTTACAGAGGTCCCTCAACTTCCCTGGGCCTCAGCTTCCTCTCGTGTACAATGAAGGGGGTCAACCAGGTGAGCACTGAGGTCTTCTGGGCTTTGACAGCTCAGTATTTTATCAGAAACAGCACGAGGGGAACTGCAGAGGGGCCCTGACATGGACTTCTGAGGTGGAGGGAGGTCTGAATCACTAGCATGTGTGTCACAGACCTGTAAAATGGGACTTTTAATTCCTCAATGAGATGCTATATGTTAGGAGCACAGTGATTGTTAGCATCATTATCACCTTGCAGGTGACCCTGGTGCAGGTCAAGTGGAGTCACAGGTGAGCGACCACGGCGCATGGAGGTCCTTGAGGAATGGGGACGGGGCACAGAGTGGGAAGGTCACCTGCAGACAGGGGTCCAGGGAAAGACACAAAGGGCCAAGCTCCGATTTTACCTCAGGCCAGCCCTGCTTCCGGAATTCCCTCCCCAAGTCTTTACATTTCTCTACTTTTCCAATCAAATTTTACCTCCGGTTAGAGATATTCAAGTAAGTTATTCAGATAACTGAGGCTAAACATATCCGACTGTCACCAGGAATATCCGGGTAATGACATCCAGCGTGGCCCCAGTTAAGCCCTGCTCCCGCGGGGCTCCGGGTGACGGACATGTCTCCAGCTCACTCTGTCTTGTACAGAGACCAGAGCCGGAGCTCTCTGCTGCGGAGGGTCACCGCCCTCCCCCGCTTCTCCTCTCCAGCTCTTCCCCCCTCCCCCTGCCCCCTCTCTCCATCTCCCCTGAGTCGCTGGCAGCCCCGCCCAACCTCTATACCTCCCCCCACGGTGTCCCCACCCCCTCCCGTCTTTGAGGCAGAAGCTCATTAGAGAGAACAAAGAGGCGCTTTCCTACTGTGTCCGACGCTCTGACATTTCTCTGGGTTTCACGCTCCTTTGCACTTGCCCCAGCTCTTCTGTTGCACTCCTAGGACCGCGGCTCCAAGGGACCGGGTTGGCCGAATGCACAACCATCAAGGAGCCGCCACGCAGAGCAATCCAGGGCTCTTGTCACTCCGAGGCCCTCTGTGGGTCCCTCTGGGAGCTGGTTTGTGTATGTGCTCCCGCCTGTGTGCTGGGGGTACCTTTGGGAGGACGGGGTGTCCAGCACACACAAGGAGGCGGAGGGGTAAGGGAGCCAGGCCATCTCATCCCGGCAGCAAGAGTCCAGTTTGCTCAAAACACAGTCGGAAGGAATCAGCTCGCTGCGTGGGAGGCCACAGCAGCTCTTGACCCTGTCCGCCGAGGTGCAGGTGCAGGGGCTGCACCGCTGTGCTGTTTTCCTCCCATCGCATCCAGCTCAGCATTAAGCCTGTTTCTGAACACAGATCCCCACCCTCATCTCGATACTCCCCGTCCAGCTGTGAGCTAATTTCATGTGTCAACCTGGCTAGGCTATGGGACCCAGGTCTTGGACAAACACCAGTCTAGACGTGGCTGTGAAGGTATTTCTAGATGAGGTTCACATTCATATCAGGAGACTGTGAGTAAACCACATTACCCTCCATAATGGGCGTGGACCTCATCCGATCAGTTGAAGGTCTTAATAGAAAAAATATTGAGGTACCTGGGGGACAAGGAATTCTGCCAGCTGATGCTCTTCAGGCTTGAACTGCGACGTCAGCTCTTCCCTTGGTCTCCAGCCAGCCTGCCCTGCAGATTTTGGACTTGTCAGCCCCAAAGTGGCATGAGCCAATTTCTTAAGATAAATCTCTCTATATCTATCTATCTATCTATCTACCCATGTATCCATCTATCTACCTATGTATCCATCTATCTATCAAATATGTATCCATCTGTCTACCTATGTATCCGTCTATCTACCTATGTATCCACCTATCTGTCTATCTTCCTACCTATGTATCTATCTATCTATCTATTGAGAGGTAATAATGTAACATCCACAGATATCCTCTTTGAGAACCTGACTAATACACCGTCTGAAGTGGCCACAGAGCCCCAGGGGAACAACTCAGAGATGAGGCCAGTGCCAAATTGATGAAGACTGTTTTCCTTCAACAATCTGAGGAGTGATCAGACACTGTTGCTTACAATTCTGAGCAGACTGGGCGCAGGGCTGCATTTTTGTCTTCCTGACAACATTGCACTACGTCTAAGGGCAGTCGGGGTAGAACTGTATTATCACAAATTCCCAGCTGGGGGTATGTCCTGGGTGTCATTTTCCACATCAAGCTTGAAGACCTAGTTCATCTTAAAACTGAGCTCATTCCTCACTTTCCTTCCAGAGAAACCCATCAATACCTCTTCCAGGGTCCTGAGGAACACCACCAAATTGAAGCCTTTTGGGGATTTCTATTTGTCAAATCGTCATTTTCCAGGAGGAGGGCAGGAGAGGCAGGGTCCAGTCTCTATCTGGAAGTATGGGTAGGCTTCTGTGCATCCTTGTTTCTCCATCTGTAAAATGGGCACAGCGCTGGCCCCGTCATCATGGGAGTACAAGGATCACTTGTGTAGAGAGAGGACCAATCAGAGAAATGTCCTCCTTCCTCCTCCTTTCTCCCTCCTGCTCTCTTTTCACTGCTTGCTTTCAAGGGATGAAAAAGGCTCCCCCAGGACTAAGCTGGTAGCTAGCAACTAATACAAGACATCAGTTTAAGCTAAGGTGTGAGATTTTTAGGGCAGCAGGTTTTAACATGTCTGCCTTCCCTGTTACCCCACCTTCCCAGTGCCCGAGTCATTCTAGACCCCCTGCAAGGGCTGGAAATGGGTGGGAATAACCCTGCTCACACTGAAAAGGAGCCCAGGGATAGCTGATGGGAGACCCTCAGGCACTGTGGCGAGACCTAAGAGGAAATGTTTTTAAGGGGGAATGGGGGCTCTCTGCACCCTTCAAACCACACATCCTAGGTCAAGGGCCAAGAGACTTGGGTACTAATCCCAGCTCTGCAGTTAATCTTCTAAGTGAACCTGGACAGGTCACTAAATAGGTCTAGGCCTTAGAGCCTTTAGTCTCCTTTTTGTAAAATGGAGATATTATCACACACACACACACACACACACACACAGTTTTTGGCACCAGCATTTTTCAGATGTATTTAGGATCACCTGCCTTGAGTTCCCTGAAGTGTGTGTTAGCATACAGACTCCTCGACCTCATCCTGAGTTTTACTGAATTAGATGTTTTGAGGCCAGGAACCTGCATTTTTAACAAGTGTTCCAAGTGATTCCCACAATTTGTCCCAATCATTCATGTTTATGTGATTCCACCCACTGAGACGATTTCTAGTTCTAATGGAACAGTGAAGAACTGTTCACACACAGGCCGCCTCCTCCTTTTTTCTTTTTTAATTTAAAATGTCAATAGCTTTATTTGAGTCCACAAGGGAAAATTGTATTTAGAGATTTTGTTCTTTTGAGCAGAGGAACGTGGTGGTGGAGTGATTGGCAAATGTCTCCACCGTGTCCAGGCCATTTTCAATGTGACACTGCTGCCCCTTCATCAAACGGTAGAGTCTATTTCTTTCCCCCTGGAATCTAGGCTGCTCTGTGATTGCTTTGGCCAACAGGACGCAGGGAAAGTGCTGTGTGCCCATTCCAAGCTGAGGCTGGAAGAGGTCCTGCCTGGTCTACTCCCTTGACTCCCTGCCACTGCCCCGTGACCAGGCCCAGGCTGGCCTGCTGGAGGGAGAGAGACCTTAGGAGGGAGAGCCCAGCTGGCCCAGCCATGGACATTCTAGAAGTTTACAGCCAGAAAGCAGCTAATCCCCAAACAAACATGGCAGTGCAGTCAAGACCGGCAGAGCTGTCTGCTGGACCCATGGCTGACTGCAGGTGCTCTAGTGAGTCCAGAAGGGCTGCCTCACTGACTTGTAAACTGTAGATTTATAAAATACAGGTTGTACTATGGTTCAGGTACGGTGAGGCAAACAGAGCGGGAGATGACTGCCATTGAAAAGAAAGTTTGTTATACTTACAGATCCCAAGAGAAGGGGGCCCACCACACTATGGTGGGGTCACATGGGAAAGCACCAGGGTCAGTCAGGAGTTGGGGGGACGTGAGCAAGAGGCTGTACTGTGGTTTCCATGGAAGGAATGATTGAGGCGGGGTAATCCAGCTTAGGATTTGCTAGTTCCAATCATTTCAGCGGGCTCTGGGGCATTAGGGCTGTCCCTAGTTGTCTGGTACCTGGCCCCGTGGTGGTTAGGACAGAGGACAGTGGCCCAGAGTGTGGGAGCCCCATAAAGGTGGTGGTTAGGATGCGGGCTCTGGATTGGTTGGTTTGCATGTGAAAGGTACACATGCAGGTGAGTCACCTACTGTCTCTAGGAATTAGCCAACCTGGGAGGGGCGGTCCCTGCAGGGTCAGCGAGGAGGCCCCAGACATCAAAGCATCAGTAAATAAAAGGTACGGACTGCTCAGCCGTGAGTAACAGTAAATCAGTATTTCTTTAAGCCATTGAGTGTTGAGGTAGTTGGTGATGCGGTAACTGATCCCTGCAAATATGGACGAGAACATTGACAGTGAAAAGGTTGCTGAGGACACAGTATCTGAGCATGTTTCTAGCCTTTCATTCTGAAACTAAAACCCAGGCGGCAGGGAGGAGTGGGGCGGGCTGGAGTGGTCCAGCGGCCCTGGGTAACTCACCCCCATTCTAACGTATCTAATTTGCTGATGGTTTTCCCAAGTCAACTGTTCCAGGAAATTCGATGGTGTCGTCAACGGCTACTTCCCCACGTCAAGCCCCCATGTTCCCTTACCCTCCTGCGTCCCTGCAGAAAGCGGTGGTGGTCCAGGCTTAAACATCTGTGAAACCAACACGAAGAGCCCTAACTCGCTGCTCTCAGGAAGTTGTTTCTTAGAGCAGAGATTGTCTAGGAGGAGGGTGTCTACCCGCAGATTTCATCCCAGTCAGGGACATGGAAGGAGCCATGTATGCTGGTGCGAAAAAAGCCTAGTCGACATTACAGAAACATATAGTATTACAAAGTAGGTTTTAAAAGCTATTAGTCCTTGCAGTGTAAACAACCCAAAGTAAAGCTCAAGAGAAGTTTTTTTGGGTGAAGGAAGTAGCAAGTGTATAGTGATTTTCAGCTGGGGACCTTTCAGGATTTGAGGGTGGGGTGGGAACAGGGTGAGATTTGTACATTCACAAGAAGGGGCCTGCGTTATAAAAGTTTAGAAGCTCTGTCTTGGAGGACTGTGTGGTACCCTGTGTCCCCTTCACAGCAAGGTTTGAACGGTCTCCCTATGACGGCAATGAGGGGGGTTTTAACAATGGAAATAATAACTGCGTCACAAAGAGCCCACAGCTGCTGTCATTCAGAGCTCTTGCCTTATTAACATCCTGGAAATGCACTAAAACCCATTAAAAAAACCCTTTTGCAGATTCCTAATTAAGAAAATTATACCTCGAGGTGGTAGATTTAATGGAACTTAAAGTAAATACCAAACTTGGTCAAAATTAATCAAGTCCCCTGAACATTCCTGGCAGATCTCTCTGAAATGGACACATCACACAAATCACAAATGCATCTAGAAAGGAAAAAGTCTCCTCTGTAGTGCATATCCCAGTTTTCCACGTCCTTCTGTGTTTCTCTTTCTGTGAGTCTCCTTTACTGCTCACACAGGACACTCACGACAC